GCCCCCCCCCCCCCCCGTACCATCACCAACCAAGCCAAGCGGGGGATTTGTTGTCGGGACTGATGTTTGCGGGTGGTCATGGGTGAATTCTAGAAACCTGGTTGAAGGTTGAAGGTTGAAGGTGTGCCTTGAACTTCACCACCACCACGCGGAGGGTGATGTGGCGGGCCTACCAACGGGTCCAATGACGTGTCGTTTGCAGTGAGGGATGAAAAATCATGTGGCATTCAAATGGACATGGAGGGGGGAGGAATCACGGATTGCAGCGTAGACCACTATGTGCACCTGCCTTTGGATATAGCTCCGCAAGGGAGAAGGGTGCTCTCTTGGGGTACAACGGAAACGTGAGAACGAGGAAGGCAACATACGGCACGCACGGATTCTACATGTATTCTTCTGATGCCGTTTTGTACCAGAGCTAGAGGTACGCGGGACGTGTATAGGGCGGAAATGTTGAAATGTTGAAAATTTAATATTGCGTATTCAAGGGCAGCCAAAAATGATGCTGATGGCAGCAGTTGGTCGGCCAAGGGCGACGGAGAACACAGCGGTGCTCAAAACAGAACAAGGAGTGTGTCCACGTGCAACCAACCACAAACATGAGGAGGAAGGTCTATTGCCAAACGTTGCATTTGCTAAAAGAATCAATGAGGTGGGATGCCGTCGTGGACCAGATTGAAATCGGACGCAACCAAACAGCCAACAAATGTGAACGGGAACCTTCCACAAGGAAATAGATGAATTGGGAAAATATTGAAGAATCGGGAATTAAGCACGCTACACTTGGGATTGCTTACGCGAATTGTGAGAACGGCGAGGCATGAACACGTCATTCGAATGGCCGGCCCAATAGATACTCGAGAAGGGGACTCTAGACTCACCTCAGTAGAGGACGATACAACGCAGCGGACAGGGGACGATGGCGCAAAGCCACACATTTTCTGGAGGAAATAGGAGGAAATGGGAGCCGGTGGGGAGATTTGGCGTGTGGTGCATTTCTAGGAGAGTTATCGCTTCTACCTGGAGATCAGCGCAAAAACGTCATACAGATAGCGTGTCCTGTTGACAATGCAGCAGTATCTAACGGCGCCTGGGTTTCGCGGTGTCTCTGGTGGAAGTAAGGAAGGCCTTTCGTCCGTCCGTCTCGATCGGGGGGTGGTCACCGGTGGTCAAACCACGAAGACAAGCGAACAAGCATGTACGTTCCCCTCCCCGAAACAGCTTCTCGCTTATTGACGCTTTCAGCCCTGCGGTGGCGTGTCTTCCAAACCCGCGACTGGCGGACTCGCTTATGAATTGACCCCGTCCTTGCCTCTCTTGAATCCCGCGACTGAGCCTTGTGCACACGAATTGCTTGAACAGGACGTGACGATCGGGCTGTGGCTGCACGGCGTGGACAGGGCGATATTTCCCCTCAACGATCTGCGGGACGCGAGGGTGTGGGAGTGCTCCTGCAAGCGGCCGAACTTCAACCCGGGAGGCGACGCGAACGTGTTTTTCCACAACTGCAAGAGCATGGACGACCTGCGAGGTTGCAAGGCATCGATGCCAATGTGCTGAGCAAGCAAACCGGGCTGGCAGCTGGCTGTGGTGTTTTACCCTATCTTTTGTTCGGGCGGACAACGCCGGGAGAAGATGCCGCAAGAGGTTGTTGACACGAGGGGGAGGGGGGGGGTGCTTCCCGCCTGGGCTGGCTGCAAGTTGTCGGTGTTGTCCGGGTGTTGTTGTTAAGTGTAGTGTAATGATAACGTGATGGTTTGTATCGGTGTTTTATCGAAATGCTAGTATTGTGCTGTCCAAAGCTAAACGGAAGAGGAGCGTCTAGGCCGTGCGTGTTCGTGTGCTTTTGTTTTGTGTTGTGTTGAAATGTTTTTGTTTTTGCGTGCGCTTACTTTGGTCGGTAGTCATCCCGTTTGATTCCTGGGATTCTTCTGCGTTAGCCTCGCGCTTCATTCCTGTGGCCCAGCGTGAAGCGATTGACAAGTTGAATTCCCTTTTCAATGTTCAACACATTGGTGTCGTTGCTTCTCGCCCTGGTGCACCTACAGCACGAGACACGAAGAAAATCTACAGGTTACCGAGAGTGCTTTACGCCCCGCGGTTCGGCACGTTCCATGACGTCCTCCGAGGATGGTTGCGCCAACACGTTAGGATGTTTGGCTCCTCCCCTATCCTTCGGTCTCCAGAAATCAACGATTTTTTTTTTTAATAAGTATATTCAACGTTTGTGTTTCGACTCGTTTTGCCCTGTCTCCCCCGGCGTCCGGATTGTCAGATTCCACCTCTTCACTCGTGTGTCGTCGAGGCGGGGCGGGGGGGGGGGGAGAGGAGGATGTTGGATACTTTCTCGAGCTGTTCCCACGACGCGAGAGACGAGGCTGCAGCTTTTTACTCCACTTTTTTTGCGCTCTTTACAGGGATGAGGATTGACTGCGCGGAAGGGGGTCGGATTTTGGTTTGGTAGTGTGTTTCTTCGTGCGTACACCGGATTTCGGGGGGGTTCAAAAGTGGGTGTTGTCTGGTGGTGGTCAGGATTGGCCTGTGAACATGGCAACATCACTCCTGGATAGATGACACTATAATAGTCGACGTATCTCGACGGGACCGAAGTGTGGTGAGCGAGAACACAGCCGAGGCAACCGGCCGCTGCTTGCGCCACTCGCGGTGAACGGCAGGCGGGTGTGCGGACATCGAAATCAACCAAGAGTTTTGGACATACCTTTTTCTCGTCAACATGAGAGCAACAGGATCGGCTGGAGGAGGAAGAGGAGGAAACTCGGCTGCTCCGCCGCCCGGTGACGGAGGCCCACCCCTCTCGCTTCGCATGCGCTATTTTTTGGGTTGAATGATACAAAAACGACACAAGTTAGCCCTGCTGCTCTCCACGGCAGAACAGCTGCTACAGCAAATAGCGAGCTTACCACAGTTGGGGGCTCAAGGATGATGTTAGGGAATGATGATGCCAAATCGTTGCACGTTGCGTGCCAGTCAGCCAGAGGGCAAGAGCGCTCTCTCTGTGTCCTGCGGCCGGCAACGGCTGGAATCGGATCCGTGAGTGCTTCGCCACTACAGCATTCCACCTCATTTCTACTCGTGACGACGACCGTTGGGGGGGTGACAAGTCGAGCCACCAGTTTTCACCGGGAGTGTCACGCTCACGCTCGAGACCAAAAATCTGTCCTGCTTTCGCCAACAAAACTGCGGCGTTGTACACAAGACGGGCGGGTGAGCCCTCAGCGGTCACTTTCAGAGACAAGTGACGTTCTCTAAAGGTATTGAAAGCACTCCAATATCCCCAGCAGCGCGGTCCCTGTAAAATACAATATTTGAACCTCATACAATTAAGTCTACTTGTCAAGGACAGTTACCGCTGTTTCTCCCGCACGACCAAGCCGTCCGCTCACCCAAAACAGCAAAAAAATCACTTCTCTAATGACATGCACGCTTTTCCTCGCGCGACGAACCCGAAAACATACAAATTCCAAATAGGGTTCCGGGAAGCAAAATTAATTGTCCCTGAACGACCAATTGCAATTTGTCAAAGCACGATCATTCGTCACTCATCGCACCGATGGAGCACACAACGACGAGAGAGACTAAATCGCCCTTTGACAACCCTGGCTAAGGTGGATGCACTCCAAAACTTGCCGAACTCAAAACACCAGCAATCGTTCCGCGTCTACAAATCCGAAGGTCGTGTAAACAACACAATCCGCCAAACAACCTACACTGCATGCAATAACTCACCTCGATCAATATGTCTTCATGTGCGTCGTGCTTATCCTAGGGACCTTCACCCCCCCACCCCTTCCTCCCCAAAACCAAGAAGGGACGCATCGATTCGCAAGCGAAGGTGGACTCCGGAACCAAAACCAGCCACACCCCAACGTCCTCCTTGCTATACCACCCACGAGGCGAAGAGGCCCCGCGAAATCATGCATGCCGGGGTGTGCCCGAATGCTTCTTGTCCTCGGGGGGGTGCACCGGTGCGTCTTAAGAATAACCGACCGAAAGAGGCAAAATCCTCCAAAAACACAAGAAAATTCACGCCAACGGGTTCGTGTTCCTGCCTCCGTGCCTCACAAAGCGGCGACGAGGGCCGGCAGAGGCTGCAACGCAAACAGCAGCAGTCTCAACGTGTCATCAACCCCGCGGGTCAGAGATTTAGGATATTGAGAAGACTGCGCAGACATAGGCAGCATGAGCAAGAGAGAGGGAGAGAGAGCGCTCGATGTACGATCACCGGCCTTCCCTTGCTCACCCTCAGATACCCGCGGAGCCAACAATTTCACCCCCGAGGGCACCGAAGTCAATCAAAGAGCCTTAACAGTCGGTCTGTTTGAGAACGGCACAGCAAGTCACCATCACAGCAGCGATAGACGTCCAACAAACTCTGGCGTACCAACGTGTCTCCAGGACATGCAGATGCCTCAGGTAGCTAGCCTTCCTGAGTGTGCAGAACACCTGCAGGAGCTCTCACCGAACAATATTTCGTTCACTACGTCCACGTTCTCCTCCACACCCGTCCCGCCAGCCCGGCAACTCTTCCCTCTCGCCCCAGCCCGCACGTGGTCCGCGTAGGGTGCTCCAAGGGCACAAAGCGGACACGACAAATCCACGACCCGCCGGTAAAAGAGTCTCGCGCCCATCAGCATCACCGCTCAAGTGAATGCGTTGCAGTCCAAGGGGTCGCATCTCCGCGGGCACAACAAGAGCCGACTACTGCCTTGATTTTCATTATTTCCTACGTCTTCGCACTCTAAAGCAGTCCACGCCGACCAAAGGTGGGGTCGAGCAGGAGGGGCACGCCAAAGGGTCAAGGGCCAAATATACAACAGCCCTAGCGACGACCACCAAATAACACACACGCGCGCGCGCGCGAGCGCGTTCTCCACACGGCAACCCGTTCGAAGGGAGCTGCCGGCTGTTGTCCGCTCGCTCGCGGGGTCGACGAGAAGATCACCCGGAGTCGTTCACGCTGACAGCAACCTTGTCGATAGGGCAGCAGGGCTTCTCCTTGAGCCACTTCGAGATGCACTTGCTGCGGTATGAGGGTCGATCCGGGCGACGAGGGAGCGCGGTGGGGGTCAGGGGAGATGAAATACTCGTGGTCAGGTCACTCCCGCGCCAATGAAAGAGGAAGAAATGCGGTGCAAGACGGCCACGGCTAAACGACGCAAAACTCCAAGCAAAAAAAGGGACACAATCGTAAAAATAGGGCCTTTTATGCGCACGAAACAGTGCCAGGACTGCTCGAAGAAATCAGCTCGACAAATAGGTAGTCTTCTGTCGGATGATGCTATTTTAAAACAAAATAAGGGAAACAGCCCCACGATGCCGTGTATCACACTACTAAATTTTGGACCGCTCTGCATGTATATATTGTATTAAGTATCGCTGTGCTTATTTAGGCATGTCTTGAATCGTTGTACACCTGCAACAACAGCAACCCAAAGACAAGAGGGCTCCCACCAGTCTCACCGACCACCTCAACGCCAACAACGAAAAACGAGCGCGCACCTGTGAAACGTGTGGAGGCAGGCCGGTAGGCGGGTGATCTTCTCCCTCGGCTTCATGTCCTCCATGCAAACGCAGCACTGGTCAACAGGACCGCTCCCGTTGCCAGTTTGTTGCGGGAGTAACCCGATCTCTGACGGGGAAAGTCCTTTCTTGGCGCCCCCACCGCCGCCGGTGTCGTCTGCGCGGGCGCGCCGGGAGAACCACAAATGGGTAAACGAGGGGGGAGATTTCGCTCGGCTTGATGCGTCGAGGCAGGGATGAAAGGAAACAACCCTCGCACGCCGACACGCCCCAAAGGTCGTTATCCTTCGGTCAAAGAGCCAAATACCAGCAATTTCAGTAGCGTGTGGGCCACCGTGAACACAACCCTCACGACAAGCGGGAATGGGAGCAATCTACACATATCGTTTTGTTCGCTTAAGCTAAACGCTGATTGAACCGCAGTTCTAACTTCTGCGTGTGACTCATCCCTCCTGACGGCGGGCGGCGTGCAATGCAACCACAACGCCCACCCGTGTCTCACTCACCCAACGCCAGAAGCTGCTGGTAATCCTCAGAGGTCAGCTCCCTTCCCTGCAACGATGCCAAGCTTCCGGCCGGATGCCCCGCCCCGCCCCCACCGCCTCCCCACTGAGACCCTCCGCCCCCCCCCCAAATCCCTCCACCCCCCAAGGCTAACATCATCTGCTCTAGGTATTCGCTGCCCATGTCCATCATCACCCCCATCTCTGCAAGGGACGGCAAATGGCTATTTCTAGACTGTTGCCTCCGCCGCCTGGCCGCCGCCGCCGCCGCCGCACCTCCTCCCCGTCGATTCGCGCCGCGCCCCCCGGGCCGGGCGCCGCTGCGAGCGTTGCTAGTGGCCCCCCGTGCTGACCCCGCGGTGCCACCACCACCCCCGCCGCTGCCGCTGCTGGCTGTGGAGGAAGAGGGCCTACTCGCTCCCGGCGAACTGCCAGGCGATCGGCCGTTGCTCCCAGGAAGGGGCCCATACACCCCGGCACCGCTGCCGCTGCCCCCGAGCCCAAGCCCGGCTTCGCCGGCCCCGCCCCCGGCAGCCGCGCTGCCTCGCGCTTCCTCCGATTGCAGCCGCCGTGCCATCTGCGCGTCCTTCCGCTCCTGCTCCCTGCACTCTTGACGCTGCAGTCTCTCCGCCACCGCGTGATCCCGAGAGCTGCTGTTGCTGTGTTCCCCTCGCCGGGTCTTCCCGTTCCGCTTTGCCGCGCCCCCCGCTGAGACAGGCGATGCCGATGCCCCACCGGCGGCGCCCGTAGTGGCGGCGGCGGCGGCGAGGCGGCGACGTCGGCGCTGCCGGGCGGTTTCGATCGTGCCGGCTTCTTGTTCCACGCCGTCCTCGTCTACTTCGATCGCGGCTGCAGCAGCAGCAGCACCCCCGGCGCGGCCAGCAGGGGCGTAAAAGCTCTTCCTTCTGTTAATCGTTCGCGGACGAAAGAGCCCCAAGGGACCTGTTGAAACGGATCGTTTGGTCTCAGGACTTCTCCCGTTCACCGCGCGTCTGCTCCAAGCGGCGGAGGAATGGGTGCCCCCGGCCCCATCGGAACTTCTGCCGCCGCCGCCGCCGCTGCTCGCACCCGGCCTGACGGCGGCTGTAGTCGAGCCGCTGCCGTTCTTCGCCGCACTTATTGGTGGCCGTTGGGGGGAGACGATGGCACTGCTGCTGTTGCTGTCGTCGTCACCGCAATCGTCCAGCACGTCGATGACCTCCATCGGCGATGCCGACATCGTGGAGAGGTCAAGCACATCCAGGGGGGCGGAGGAGGACGAGGCGGGAGGCCGGGTTGCCGCCGGCGACGTTGACGACGAGCTTCTCCGAGCCGCCTCGCTGGAGAGCGTGGGCAACTCCTCCGGTGCATTGCGACGACTATCTCCCGACGAGGAAGGCTCCGCCGCCGCTGACTCGTCCTCGCCAGCGAGTCCTGATGGCGGCGCCGGGGTCGAGCCGCGCGGAGCGGGAGGCGGTGGTGGCGATAGCGACGAGCAAGGGCTGTTGGCTAGAACAATTGGTGCGAGGGACGAGAAAGAGGAAGCCGGTGGTATTTTCCGCGGGAGAGGTCGGGCACCCGTCGCTGCTGCCAGAGAAACCAGGAATCCACGCTTACGCTTCGGCTCCCGCCGACCTGCATCGCTTCCCGCCCTTCGCCTTGTTCCTCCAACTCCAGCGAGGACAGCAGCCGCTCGCTCTTCCTCCTCTCCCGCGCCACGGCCGCTTCGATTTATCTTGTCCGCCTCTTCCCCCCCACTGGTGAGAAAAACTTCTTCTTCCGATTGTCCTCGCGGGAGGCGCCGTGGTCGCCGACGGGGTGGCGTTGCGGTCATAGCACGAGCCCTGTCGGACAAGAATGGCGCCGGAAATGACGCCGACAGGCTGCTGCTGCTGCTGCTGCTGCTGCTGCTGTTTGCACTGATCAGCGCTCGTCCTTTACCCTTTCCGTTGCTGTTGTCCGACGGAAGAAGTGATTTGTTGGTTCGACCGGATGGCGAGACGCGGCAACATGGTGCCGGTGGGGGGGCGGGGAGGTGACCGCGGTCAGGACCCAATCAACCGCGTGAGGTACGCTCTCCCCCAAATACGGTACAACTGTAACATGACACAGAGATGGTGGTAGCATCGTACGACGACTCAAAGACTATTTTCGCACTAGGGCCAACTCAACGAGATTCAATGGACAAGCTTGTACGGGTGCTCTTTCACTACTCTCTTGCTCTGTCTCTGTATGTCGAGTGTCTTGTGCTCGTATATAGTACAAGCTGATTTGATTTCCGTGCAGGGTCTAAAGCTTCATGCGTTATTTTCGACGGCACAACAGCAGCAGTGTGGCAACCGAAAAAATATGCGAGGAGGGTTGAATTTCGTGGTTCACCTAGGGTAATGCGAAGAAGGGCAGCACAACAATGAACCTTTGGTTTGTTGCTTGTGCAAGTTATGAAACAGCTGATCTACCCCCAAGTGTAGGCACACCTAAAGACTAATCATTTACGTCTCCCTCTCGGTCGCTTGAAATGCAAATTCGTCTGGTCACCACGCGGGCATTTAGTTTCACTTGCACGGCGTTTCAAAATCTCACCCGCGCTGCCGACTGGAGCTCGTCATGCAGAACTCGTCCTCGCCTGATGATAACGATAAACCGCCGTCCACAGCCCTTTTCCTCGCGGGGGAATCCGTGGGTGACCTATTCGCCGTCGGAGCCATCGCCAAGGGCATTGATGATGCGGTTGACGAGGTGCGTGGAGGAGGGGCCACATATGATGATCCCCCGTCCAGCAAGTCAACGCTGCTGCTATCATCCAGGTCGTCGTCGGAGCATACCGATGGCCCGCTGGTGTCTGTTGTGGTGGCACCTTGGTTGTGGCTGCCTTGCTTCTCCAGCGACGCCGATTCGAAGCCGTTGCCCACTGACAGCGGGCAATTATCTTCAAATTCGGGTGTTGTTTCTGTGGAAGCCTCCTGCTGCGGAAGATGTTGTCGATACGGAGGCGAGTCCATCTCCTGGAATGGGAACAAGGAGGGAGTACTATAGTGATGGGGTGGGTGTGCTGTCTCTGTGTTTATGGCGAGGTCCAGGGCACACAAAACAACCAACGGAGCCTCACACGCCGCGCTAAAACACGGGGGGGTCGCAAAATCACTCACCCAAAGGAGGGGTATGATTGTTTTGGCGGCTTGTGTTCGCCCCGGTCGGCAGCGGCAGAGCGACACTGACTGACTTGACGCCTGCGCCTTCAAGCTGCTCTGCTGCTGCACACCGTACACAGCAGTCATGACGGAGATCTCACGGTCCAACACAACGAGCATGTCGACGAGACAGCAGCAGTACCTCTCCCGAGATCGTGTGCTGGAGATGTTTTCGAAGCGCGAATCTAAGGGCAAACGGCATTACGGGGCCAACCACCTCATCGCGGGAACCACAGCGGGTGTGGTGACGACCGCTGCTCTCTACCCTCTAGACCTCGTCAAAACTAGATACCAGGCAAGGACATTGGCACGTTTAGTTTCGTGCCCGTGCCCTGTAACTACCAAATGGGCTGCGCATCACAAACTTTGTAAGCTTGAGTCGGTGCTCTGTACTTCCGGCTGCTACTTATATGTCAAGTTGACGTTTTGTCCGCCGGGAACCAGCCAAGTCTCTTTCACTTCTTACCACCAAATACTTCGTACGTCGCTAGAAGGTGCCAGCGCTCTACCGATACTGTACTTCTCGAGAACTTTCAATAGAAGCAGCCTTTCCAGCGGGCTGACGATGCGTGCAACGTGCAGCCTTACCGCGACGCGCAGGTGCGCAGTAAGTGCAGTACAACACCGATTTTCGAATCCCGCCGCATCGCAGTTTCCTGTTTGGTGATTTGGTTCCACCTGGCTGCAGCACTGCAGCACTGGTTTCTCCCGGTAGACTCGACTATTGGAAGTCTAGAATCCAGCAGGTTTCTGTCAACCCTCACTGCTGTAAGTGCTTCAATACATATGCTCTGAGGTTTGTCAGGAGCGGGTGGTCCTTCTGTCATGTCCGGCATTTTTTTCAACAAAGTTTCCAAGAAAACAGAGCGCCGGATGAACCAATTCCTCGAGGCGCGCGTGGTGGGCGGTACAGCAGCCGCTAGTCAACACGGGGGTCTGGGAGTCGTAAAACGAGCTCACGGCAACGCGTATTTGGTCACCGACCCTTCCATGCGTTCGGGTGCACCTTCGACGCGTCAATTCGTAATCGCCCAGGTTTATGACAAGGGCCCGTCGCCGTACAAGTCGCTGGGGACTTCGTTTCGAACCATCATCCGGGAGGAGGGGGCAAGAGCGCTCTACCAGGTGCTTCAACCTCAAGCTTGAATGCATCATGCATATGAGCTTACCTGAGTATGCGGGATTCCGCCTACGCTTGGACGTGTTTGTCGAGCGAGAGTTTGAAACATGAGTCAGGCCCATCCATGCGTGGACTCGGTCTCCGTGTTAAGTATCACACGGCGACAAGAGATGGTGTGGCTTGTTGCTTGTCCCCTGAGTTGCAAAGCGCCGCTGCTGTAACGCCAAGAAGATGAAATGTTGGCAGAATGCGGCAGGCGGTTGCGTATGTCAGTGGCATGATCGCTCCCATGCCGAACAGCAACTAATGTAGACTATTATCGTCCGCGCAGGGCCTGGGTCCAGCATTACTTGGGAACGCCGTCGCCTGGGGAGGATTCTTCTACTGTTACGAGAAGATTAAGGTACGTATGCATACATATATGGTTTATATCTTATGTTGTGTGGGTTTTGTTTTCGTTTCTTGGGGGGCTTCCTCTGGGATTGTTTGCAACTAATAGTTGGTCGAAACGCTTTTGAAGGCTCTGTCTCTGCTGTATCTCCGTCTTCTACGGGTTGAGCGCTCTACTGTACTTATTGCCCGACGAAGCAAGCACCTGGGGATTCGAGAGGCGAGAGGTTGTCCTCGGTGAGAGAACTGGCAAGAGAACAAACCGTTTTTGGCGACAACCTGTCCGCCTGGCCTGACTAACGATTTGATTTTTCGAGGGTTACATAGCTTTAGCTATCTTGAATGCGGAGCTTTCTGGCCGCCATCAACTCACTCTTCTACTATGCGCAGCAAATTTCTCGAAAGCTCAATCCTCAAGTCAAGCTACGTTGTAAGCCCTGGTAGGGAGGATGGCGCCATTGCTGCGGGGTATCGTGTAGGTTTGATCGAACTGTTCTTCCTTGTGCATGCGGGGTCGCCTTGTCATGCGGGTCGCGGTCGTTCTACACGTTCCCGATTCCATTCGTTCGTTGCTGTGCGCCCCCCCCCCCCCCCCCCCCCCCCCCCCCCCCCCCCCCCCCCCCCCC